TTGCCTTACTGTGGGGTATTGTAAGATACTGTGAGGTCTTGTGTGATACTGTGGGGTGTAGTAAGATACTGTGGGGTATTGTGATATACTGTGGGGTATTGTGAGATATTGTGAAATACTGTGGGGTATTATGAGATACTGTGGGGTATTGTGAGATACTGTGGGGTATTGTGAAAATCTGTGGGGTATTATGAGATACTGTGGGATATTGTGAGATACTGTGGGGTTTTGTTTGTTGCTATAGGGTATTGTTAGATACTGTGGGGTATTGTAAGAAAATGTGGGGTATTGTGATATTCTGTGGGGTATTGTGAGATACTGTGAGGTCTTGTGAGATACTGTAGGGTATCGTGAGATATTGTGAGGTTTTGTGAGATATTGTGAGATACTGTGGGGTATTGTGAGATACTGTGGGGTATTGTGAGACACTGTGGGGTATTGTGAGACACTGTGGGGTATTGTGAGATACTGTGGGGTATTGTGAGATACTGTGAGGTATTGTAAGATACTGTGGGGTATTGTGAGATACTGTCAGTGGCGGAGCCAAAGGGGCGGAAGCCCCGAAAGCAAGTTTTTCGGGCAAAAATCTCATAAGTAGGCTAGAGATTCGGGCATTCTCTCGGACGTAAACCTGGCTCCGCCACTGGTATTGTAAAATCCAGTAGGGTATTTATGACATGCTGAAAAGTATTACGGGATAATTTATGGTATTTTGAGATACTGTAAATGTATTTTGTAATTCTGTGTTGTTTGTTGACATACTGGGGGATAATTTGAAATTGGGGAGTATTGTGAGATATTGTGGGATATTTTGGGATATATAGAGGTTGAGGTTATCATTTGATTACGAGTGGGATGGTTTTTATGCCACGAGTGATCGTGATATTTTATAATGCCGTAGCCATAATATCTATCTATTTTTCCTACAATTTTCAGTTGAATAAATGACTTTATTAACAACAGAGGCAAACATGTCAATCGCCATCTTGGGCGTTACAAATGTTTAACGATGTCAGTATTGGCCCTGTCCATCGAATACCAGCCGTTCATCAACATATTTATTCAACGTGCTAGATCTAAATATAGACAACAGACTAAAAGACTCATCTAAACAAATTTTAAATTTTTATGTTTCATATCAGGTAAAGGATAATATGAAATACTGAGAGGTATTGTGTGAATTGTGAAGGTATTGAAACAAAACTGTACTAACCTTCTGGGCATTCACAAACTCCGTTTGTACAAGCTGCTCCGTTACACTCAACATCGGTACATGGATCTCTTCTATTCAACTCACATGAGTCACCTTAATAATAATAAATACACATATAAAAAAAATTAAAAACTAATTTTCAGATGAATACAGAAATATTGGAGATGTTGGAGAAGATGAACATATGCATGACTCAAGGTTTGAACTATGGTCACATATCGTCCTATGAGGTGGAATTATTATAAATGCTGCGTTCACACTGGGCCATTCCGTCTCCACAATTTTGGTTGAATTCGACAATTTATTGTATTCTCTTACGGTTAAGGTCTATTACACTCGTCAACGATTTCCACGCTCTATCACGTTCTTAATATTCGGTATCAAACAGTTATAATCGTGACTCTACGATTACGACGATTCGACCCTTCGCTCATCACGATTCTATCAAATCGAGTTAGACATCATGGCCTCGTATAAACGTAGCACTAATATATAAAGTAATTATATAAGTATATAAAAAAATAACTCTTAAAAAAGAATTGATAATTATAGTTATAACATTTTGATAACATTGGATCACATATTTAGTAGTGCATTTAATGGGTAGTAGTATCGAAATTGGGAGGGGGGAGTATAGCAAATCGCAGATACAAGCATCTTAACAATATCTAGCTATTACAAACAGCGTCTTATGGATCTAATGATCTCTTGGATCATGGAAGTTTGTAAATACAGCGATTCGGTTTGATTGTAGGTAAACGAGAGAAAGTCTGTCGAGGGTTTTGATTGGTCGTATTCTCTGGAGTACAATACAATTCTCTGCATTCCATAATATACGGAAGGTGTTAAGATATATACAAACAACGTTTTATGTTTACTAAACGAGTATCACAATCACATATCGAATGTGCCTTTGGAAAGAACTGAATTACTGGCAAACATTAATTAAAGCTCTTCGGTCATGAGTTTCCGAAACAGATACGAGTTAGTCAAGACTTACGTCTTAGATACAATTTCAATACAATACTTACTTTGTATTAACGAGTAAAACAAATCGAATGCGCCTGTTGATAGGACAGAACTACTGTTAAACATTACGTAAAACTGCTTTCCTACAAGCATTTCTTTTTGAGTAACTTGTCCTTTAAATCCTCCTTTAGGGTGGTATGAAGTTTGTTTACTTTCATCATCAAATATCTGTAAAACAATTTATATATTGACACCCAGTAGCGTATTTAGGGTGAGGGCCATTGGTACGATCAGTCAGTTTCAACTAGGACATGTGTTGCCACAGTAATTTAACACGGGATCCATTTTAACCAGGGACCAGGGACACAAGAGCCGGTTTCAACAGGGAAACTTGTTGTCACGTGTTCGGCACGAGAGTTTTTACAGGGACCAAATCTGCTGATACTCGTTTGTAAAAGTAATTCTTATTGCCAGAAGAGTGGCGCGTGATTGGCTGCTATTAACGTGAGCACGTGTACCCGACCTTGGTATTAGTCTCTGAAGACCTGACTATTCTTGTCTACGACGAGTCTGGGAATTTCCATTAAATTTTCCGTTACGACGCTTTCAAGGGAGATAACAACAATGAAGCATATTCGATATACAAGTCTAAAACGACTTGTTTACAACAGAAACAAAATGGCGACCCTTACAAGTTTTCTCAGTTTATATTTGATATATTAATCTACAGATGTTATATTTATCGTTTTTTTTTTAAATAAGCATTCATAATAACTGAATTATTTTAATTAATTTTCCAATAACCAAAACGGATATGGATTTACAACCAATCAGATTCGTTAGCCACTATAGACTAATTCCATTACAAAGATTTTACGCCACCGGTCCAAGCCATCAAAGCTGTACGCTGTCAAAGAGGTTGTGGATGATAAAGGCTACCTTGGTATAAATCTCGATAGATTATAGTCGAATTTATCCTGGGTTAATCTGATTCGATTTACGTGCAGGGTAATTTCTTCCTGCCTTGCCGCCATCTTGGAAACTATAAATAGTATAATGTTTATTTATCCTGCAGTATAAATTAGATTTGATTTGTGACGTCATTCGGATTAGGGTAATCGAATCAGATTTAAGTGCGTAAAAATGCCTTAAAATAGAGACTGTAACACTCCACGATTTCTTTTCTAAATACATAATCTTTTTAACCCCTTTATAGTTTGAATTGTATATTTCTTAACGTGTATATGTTTGTTTATGCATAATATTATGATAATTTATAAATTTATTTAATGCTCTGAATTTGTACATTATAATTCTGTTCGAATTTTTTCTCTAAGTTAATTATAACTCAAACAAAAGCAGGACGTTATGCCAAGACAAATTCGAAATACGAAAAAAGACATTTTTCAACTTACATTTTTTATCAATTCTACCAAGGTCGGTGGCAATCGAATTTCCAATTTCAACCAAATTTTACAAAAGTACGAAAAAACTTTCGAATTTCGAAATTTTGAAACTGCAGTTTGTTTGGAAGTTCTTTTAAGATTATTTTATTTGTATTGGCATTCTGTCTATATTCTGTAAATTTTAGATCGATCCGATAAGTAGGCTAGCGACTGAGTGGAAAATTTCACAATTTTATGCAAATTTATTTTCTATAAATTTTCTAAATTTTTGATTATATCTATTACATTTAAAACATATTGTTTCAAAAG